CCCCCCCTACTCCCCCCTCCAGTCCGCCAGACGCTCGCCCGCGGGGACCCATCGGGGAGGAAAGCAACCCCCAGCCCTCGTACCCGACGTAATACCTCCCCCTCCCGCTGCTCGCCCCTTCACAACGCCCCCGGAGTTCGCTGGCGTTTTGCAATTCTTCTCCACATCCCCTCCCCTACCCCACCCCCTTTCACGTGGGTCATTATTTCCAATAACCACCCTGGCGGCCCCCCACCGCCAGTTTCCACCCCTTCCACAGACAGCGGCCCGTCCGCCGCAACCCACCCCTATCCTCCACTTTACCGTCCGTCTCTGGAGTTCCTCCAGCAGCAGAAACAGATTCTTCACTCTAAGCATCTCCGCAGCAGCACGACGAACTACAGGCCGTGCTCAACTGAGCGGCCCAAAACAAAACTTCAAACTATCAAAAATATAAAACGGCAATACCAGACACCAAAAAGGACTTTAACCAAAAACATTTTACAGAAATTTGTATGAACATATTTTTTTCTGCTGCTCGCGCAACAGTCCGTCATCAAAGGCCGCAGCGGCGTCGGCCGCCATCGTCGTGGGCCTCACCGAGATGAGTGTGCCGCCAGGTCTTAATAAACCTAATTTCACGACAGAAAAGCAGAGGGGGAGGGGAGGAGGAGGCGAAGGGAGAGAGGAAGTGGGATATGGAGAGAGGGAGGGAGAGGGAGAGAGAGAGAGAGAGAGAGAGAGAGAGAGAAGGAGAGAGAGACCCGCATCGGACGGGTGCGGCGTGGCGTGGCGGCCGTGCAATGTGCCATGCTTCCTGCGTCGCACTGCTGCTGTTACTGCCTCCGCACCGCCGCGCCGACTAAACTATAAAGAGTGAGGGAGAGACACGGGAGAGGGAGGGAGAGGGGGGCAGGGGGAGAGATAGTGGAGGGAGAGGAGATTTGGCCCAGATGTCGCCCAATTTCCTCTGCCCTATCCCCCCTGCTAAACTTTACACATTCTTTCTATCCACTAAGCAGCAACGGCACGCCCTCGCAAGGTGCGCGCTCATACGCGTGCGCACACATTCACACCGTTGGAAACGCGCAAGGGGAGTGCAAGGTGCGCCAATGACACGTCGAAGCAAACTGCACAAGGTGCAGACGTCATCTATCGCCCGAGTGTACGAGTTAATATCGCCCTATCCGAAGACATGAACAAACCCACCTAAACTCACTGATAAACTAAGTGTTCAACTGCTCGACACCTGTAAGTGTGCACTACCTTAGATTGAACGCACACTTAGGAAGTGCTCAAATGAGGAGTGTTGCACTCCTACCGAGCTGAACACTTACGTTATCAGTGCTGTCACTCCCTCTGCGCGATATCGACACATAAATCTAGACTATCGTCATTGATTACGAAGCGGACGAGTGCTGTATGTTCTCCCCGGCCACGTCAAACACTAAGAATGTCTTTTATCAAACACTTACATTTATGACTAGAATGAAAAACATTAAAATGTCGAAGTATTATCCTCTGAGACGTTTCGACACAAACGAGGTAACGACACGGACTAACACTCTGAAAAATAGGAACTTTGATACTTCGATAAGGTGTCCAAAGTTAAATTGCCAACCCTTGAGTTGAACACTTCTCAGTGTACAACTTTGTTAAGCAGTAGGGAGGATTAAATTATCCAGCTAAATACTTTAAAATGTGCAACGAAGTGTTGAGCATTTCTTGCGTATGTGTACTCTGTCAATTCAAATGTGTACATGGCATGTACGCATCTATAAATGCATAAATTGGTATGTATACATGGGCATGTTCATGGCCATGTAGGCAATGGGTACATGGGTAACGCATCAATAACTGCTCGTATTCATTAAAACTAAAGTATACATGTCATGTACACTTTATTTAAAGTAGACAATGGACGCATTTGAATTAACAAAGTACACCAGAGGTTACACACTTTATTTGCCAGTTTACCAGCTGCTGTTCGTTTATTTACACAATTTTTTCGACAAATAATGAGCCAATCATTTCGCCTTATTTTTTTTATATCTCACTCGGAAGGTGTGACAGAGAGAGGGAGAGAGAGAGAAGCAGAGAGAGAGAGAGAGAGAGAGAGGAGCAGGGTGGGGGAGGGTGGGCGAGAGGCACGCGGGGCACGCGAGGTATCGGTCATGACATTCGACGCGTCATTAGACGTGAAGGAGGGGGTGGCGGAGCGTGGCGTGGCGTCATTAGGGACATGAATAGGCTGTTATCAAGCGTATTGGACGGTTAGAGGGATGTTGAGGGCGGCGGCCCTGCCCTGCCTGCATGGGGCGCCTTATCCGTCCATATCGTTCCAACTAAACGCGTTCACATATCTCCTATCGACACGGCTCCATCTAGTGTGTTGGGCGGGCCTGGGAAGTGGGAAGGTGGGCCTACCGCTGGGGATCCCCCTTGCGCGCACGGATCCCTGAGGAATCCCCGCAGTAACACGCCAAGAATGCCCCAGCCCCACCACTGGATCCTGCGCGCGAGGAGCACGACCCGGCCGAGCGAGCGGCGCGCTGGGGCGGCGGCTGTTGTAGGCAAGCGAAGGGCGACTGACCGCCAAAGTGCAAACTCTGCAGAATGCCGGCGCGGCTGGACGCCTCGGCTTGGCCGAGCGGACAGTCGCGACGCAGCCTCCAGCCAGGGCACATCAGGATTAGGATAACTTATTGTTTGGTAATGTAATGAATCAAACTGAACCCACCGGTTAGGTAACATGTACAGCAGATCAGACTGAGGGGTAGGGCAAAGGGTATTTGGCATGAACCCAATAAATAGTACTAAAGTAATAACTAACTATGGTGTAGCTAGTAACTCACCCTAAGACCCTAGAACCCCCAAAGAACCAATCATTTCATTACTAAAACACGGCGGGTTGGGCGGTCCGCCGGGGAGGTAGGCCACCGGCCCCGGCCGCGCGCTCGACAGTACAGCCTACCCAGTGGGCGGCATGGCCCCCCCGGCCGCACGGGAACCCAACGAACGGCGACTGGCGATGCCGAGAGCCGAAGTTACTGAAGCGCCACTTATACAAACGTTTTATTTGAGCACAGCGACCCAGCGACCAACCACCGAAGGGCGCCTGGAGGGAGGGGCAGACCGACGACCGCAATGAAGACAGTAATACTCCCCTCCCCGCACCTCCAGAGCCCGTGTGAGGTCCGCAATATGTCCCGTCCACACGTCCAACGGGGGGCGGGCGCGCTTTGTTCAAGCAGTTAAGGGCTGAAGGTCGGGGCGCTCGCTCCCTGCCCACGCCCGGGCACGCAACAAGAGCGACGACGCCAACAACACGACGGCTGTGCGTCAGCGCCAACCTCGGCGGCGCCGGCCGGCCAGCCGCGTGAAAGGCTTTCGGGGCACAGATACGGCAGGTGATTCAGCGCTATAAAAACGAGGAAAAAAAAATCGCGGAGTATTTCTTATTTTAATTCGAGGCGAAGAATGGAAATAATGACTCGCTATCGCAGCTCGTTCGCAGAAACGTGTAAGTAATTTGTGAGTGGCAGAACGCGCAGTATGAAACAGGTACTGCTCAGCAGATGGGATGCTTGTGAAGGTCTTGTCATTTACCGTAGCTCATTGAATTTGTTATTGCTACTTCGCCCACTCCACGGATTTCTCCGATCGATTTTGACATCCCACACCCGGCTAGACGCCGTAGCCATGCAGCTGACGCCGTTGTTGTAATTCCTCGTGCGCCTTCTTCAAGTGCCACTCCCCTCGCCCTCCATTCTGTGTTTCCTCTGGACAAGCTTTGCTGCCGGTATTGTCTTAAAGGTGAAGGGGGAGAGGGATGGGGTTGAAAGCGGACGCCCGCGGAGGGGTTGAAACGAGAGTCCATTCGTTTTAAGCCTCTCTGGTGCCGAACACCGAGACGCCTGCTGCCCCGGACCATCCGGCCGACGCGAGGCCCGTTTGCGCGCCTTATCTCTCTCTCTCTCTCACTCTCCCCCCCCCCTCTCTCCCCTCCCTTT